TCAACCATCACCGCTGTCGCGCGTGGATCCATAGTCTCGCACGTTGACGTCGATCCGTTCGACGAAACCCCGAGGCAAGATCTCGCTTGCTCAGAACTAATTTTTCTATTTATTATGAATTATCCGCAATTTTAGATCTGCTAATATTTATCTGCGTGGGTTTGATGAATAATTTTGAATGGATAGTAATTATGGGATAAATAGTATTTTCAGGACAAATATAATAAATTAAAGAATTTATTTTGAATAACAAATTTATTATAATATTTTTAGAATTTATGTTGCGGAAGAAAATTATTTTAGAATGATAAATGTTTTTAAAAAAGTTATTTTGGAAAAGGATTATTTTTATGACCGTGTGATTGATAGTTGAAGAACACGACATTTCATGTACATTGACACCGACATGATGACACTCTTATTTATACTCATTCATTGTCACATATGCATACCTGATTCATCGCTAGTCTATATAGTCATGTTCATCATATGATTTGCATAAAATAGTTATATTTATTTATTATTTCTTGTTTTGTTGATAACCGTTAGTAGTTCATGTTCTTAGTGTCCTAGCGTGTCGTGTATAGGACCTAGATACCTGTGTTTGTTGACTTAGAAAAGCGAGAAGAATTAAGATGGGGAATTCCTGGTTTAGTTGATCGGATGTGATTGTTGATTATTCCAGGCTCGCACCAACGATATTCCTGTGTAGCGTGGGGTGGGTCTGAGGTGATGTGATATTATGCTTGTTGATTATTTCCAGGCTTGCACCAGTAAAATTCATGTGTAGCACTGGGGTGAGTCTGAGGGGGGTAGTGAAACGTTGTGCGTAGATGATTTTGTGAACAATCGGTTATCTAAGAATATGAACGTTGACTCTGGGTGAGATAAGGACAAGTGAGTTGTGATAGGATGGCTAGTCGTGTTCATTTCATACATAGGTTGGGGTTAATATTTAATTATCTATAATTTGAGACATATGGTATATACATGAGGGTTTCCTTGTTTGGATTATTTCGCTCGACGTACTACGTCTCTTGTTGTAGATTTTTAAGTATTAATTCCATCTATTGTATGATCTTGTTACTTGGTTGATATTTGGATTCTTCTGATTATTAGTATTCCAGTTGCACGCCTCTATCGTTATTACTATCATCACATGATCTATTTCTGTTTCTGTTATCGCATTGACCATGCATATATTGTCTTTACTGTTGTTGTATTTGTTCCTGCCTTGAGGGATCTTGCCGTGTGTATACACGCTGACGTACTCCTATTTTCTGGGTGTACGTTAGATTTAGGAGACGGACATCCTCAGTTCGGAATCAGGCAGGAGCCAGATGATTCTCAGTAGGAGTGCCTTGCAGGTGGAGTAGAAGAATAAGCTGAAGCCCAGTAGTTTTCCTCTGTAGTAGCTGATGAACATTAAAACCTTTTTACTGTACTTTTCTCTAGTTGATGACGGATTTAGTATTTTAACAGTACTTTCTTTATGGACTATGTATTTCTTATTTTCTAGTTGGACTGTTTTGTAATAAGGGTATGTTGGACCCATATTTATGTCTGGGATGATTTACTGTTGATGATATGTCTATTCCTTATTCTGAGTTGTCTTTATATTCTTGCTATTGTGATCGGGAACCTGTGACTTCGCATTGTATTTATTTCTAGACGCTTAGCGTATTGGATTGAGAAGAAAAAAAAAGAAAAAAAAATGATAGTGTATATTCTTCTCAATCTAATACGTCTGATTTCTTATACTATTATCTTAATAACTATGTTTTAACTCCTATTTTCTAATATATTGTTTTGATTTTAACCCTAATTCTTTGATCCTCGTTTTCCTTCAGAACTATGGTGGGTACTCGCGGTGTTAGTAACTCGTCTAGTAGCGGTGCCCCACAGGCCGAAGTGGATCCAAACCAACTTCTGGCGATGATTCAGGGATTGGTCACCAATCAGCAGCACTTGGCGGGACAGCTTCACAGGGAGCCGCAGCACCAGCCTCCCCCTCGCGCAGAGTCTGGAGTTAGAGAGTTTCGATATATGCGGCCTCCTTCCTTTTCTGGTGCCGAAGGACCTTTAGCAGCAGAGGAGTTTCTCAAGGTCACTGAGACTATTCTCACGGTGACCCGCATCCCCCATGCTGAATGGGTGGACCTCATGGATATTCAGCTCACCGACACCGCTCGGATTTGCTGGACTACAGAGAAGGCTCATTTGGAGAGACCGATTTGGTGGGATACCTTCACTGACCGTTTCAACAGGAAGTACTTTCCTCAATCAGCTCGGGATGAACTCCTACGTAGATTTGTTGAGCTTAAGCAAGGAGGGTGAACAGTTGATGAGTACGAGGCCGAGTTTTCTTCCTTGAGTCGATATGCTCCTCATCTTGTTGCAGACCCTACCATTAGGAGGCATCAGTTTCAGAAGGGCCTGGATAAGTATATCAGGTTTGCTCTAGCTGGTCGAGCACTTACGACGCACGATGCAGTACTGGATGCAGTACGTGAGATTGAGAGCGTATAGAAGGAACCTGAAGACCCGCACGTGATTCAGAGCAGGACACCAGCAGCTCCGGCCCGAATTGTCGAGCGTCCCCCTCCGAGACAGCAACAGCAGAACCCGCAGAGGCAGCAACATTCTCAGCGTCAGCCATTTCATCACGCTCACCCTTATCAGCATCCTGGGGTGCAGTCTCAGAGCCTGTCTTCGGTGAGGTGTTCTTATTGTAGATACCATGGGCATGTTAGACCCTAGAGGGGGGGTGATTAGGGTCTTATGCTAATCTAATCCGATTTAAATACCAATTAAAATTAATTAATAAGTTATCCTAGCAAGTATGAAATACAACAATATATATTAGCTAGGATAAGCAATATAAACAACGAGATATATCCTAACAAAGAGATATAAGAAAGTATGTGCAAGGATATATAAACTCAAGGGTAAACAATCTAAACTAGATAGTGGATCATAAAAAGGATGAGTAATGCACAATTGGCGATATAAGATAAATGCAAAAACAACTACGCCAAAGACAAACTCAAACAAGCAATATGATCACGGAGTTCGGACCTTCCGTCCTACGTCTCCGCTCCCCACTCCCGGGGAGAAATCCACTAACACAATCCGGTTTG